TCAGAGGAGATGAACGAAGTAGCGCGCAGGCCTCCCAAACCCCCACCAGCGGCCAAGCGGTGACAGCCCAGCTCATGGTCATGAGCATCTGAGCTGCTGGTAAGGGGAGAAGCAGCGTGCACGGCTGCAGGGTATCTCACTGAAAAAACCGAGCTGAATTAACACAGAAAATGCTGAGGCAGCCACGCCAGAAGTGTCTCAAAGCAGTGACCTGTCAGAGGAGATGAACGAAGTAGCGCGCAGGCCTCCCAAACCCCCACCGGCGGCCAAGCGATGACAGCCCAGCTCATCGTCATGAGCGTGTGAGCTGCTGGTAAGGGGAGAAGCAGCGTGCACGGTTGCAGTGCATCTCACCGGAAAAAGCGAGCTGGAATGAACACAGAAAATGCTGAGGCAGCCACGCCAGAAGTGTCTCGAAGCAGTGACCTGTCAGAGGAGACGCGTCCATCGATAGATAGATATATATATATATATCTTCCGGGCAAAAACGTTTACTTCACTCCAGGACACAGCTTTTCTAGGATGTAGTTAACAAACCACTATGCTTGTCATTGACTAAGTGAATGTCTCAAAGAAAAACGCGACAAAGTAGCGCGAGCTGACGCACAGCAGACACTGTAGATGTTTTAGCGTGCTCTCGCTGTTCAGCTCCCGACTAGTCTTTGTACTAGTCTTTGCTTCTGCAGAACGACGTCCGGAAAGGATTTTGATCACTGGTGATGGGGCAGCAGAAGTTTGCAGATATAGACCAGTTCCTGCGCTGACTGTCCACAGATTGCTCCGCGTACTAAAGTTGTACTACAAAGTCACCAGTTCTCAGCTTCCAGCTCCCCAGCTACTCCGCGTACTACAGTTGTACTACAAAGTCGCCAGTGCTCATCTCCCAGCTCCCCAGATACTCCACGCCCTCAAGTTGTACTACCCACTCGCCAGTTCTCCTCTTCCCGCTCCCCAGCTACTCCGCGTACTACTCTCGCACTACCACGCCGCCAGTTCTCAGCTTCCAGCTCCCCAGCTACTCTGCGTACTAGAGTTGCGTACCAAATCGCACTCTCGTCTGCATTTCGCGCCCTCGACATGCACGATCTCCGCAGAGGGTTGCGCGGGCAGCCGGCAAATCGCACTCTCGCCTGCATTTCGCGCACTCGACACGCACGATCTCCGCA